ATTCTTACTCAGGGGTTTTTGGGGTCGCTGATCACAATTCTAATGTCAGATTTTCAAAATAAATAATTTTTCATCCAAAATGGCCGCCAAAATTTTTGAAAAATTTCAAAAGTGGATAAATTCTTTTAAAAATTCTTACTCGGGAGTTTCTGAGGTCGCTGATCACGATTATGAAGTCAGATTTTCAAACTACATGAATTTTTATCCAAAATGTCCGCCAAAATTTTTTCAAAATTTTAATAGTTGTTAAATTTTTCTAAAAATTTTTACTCGGGGGATCTTCAGCTCGCTGATCACGATTTTGAAGTCAGATTTTCAAAATACATCATTTTTAATAATTGTCTGCCATATTGGATACTCTATGTTGAATTTTGAAAACCTAACATCGGATTAGTAATCAGCAACCCCGAAAATTCAAGATTAACAATTATCAGGTCAATCATGTGAATTTTTAAACATTAGTTGCTTTATTGGATCTGACACTTTAAATTTTGAAAAACTAATAACAGATTCGTAATCAGCAACCACAGAAACTCTCGAGTAACAAATTTTAAGCGAATCCAATGAATTTTTCAAAATCGTGACCGTCATTTTAAATTTTAAAATACTAACACCGGAATCGTAATCAGCGACCCCAAAAACCCCTTAGTACCTATTGTCAATATAATTTATTCACAAGAAGGTCTTACACATTTTGGGCCAATTTTGTTATATTTTAGCTACTCACTGGAGGGGTTAATGTTTGGAGTTAATTCCGCTCCAAAAATATTTCAGAGGGTTCTAGAAGAAATATTATCTCCTTGCAAGAATTGCTTAAACTTTTTGGGCGATTTAATTATTTTTAGCTCTAATGAAGGAGAACATGACCGATGCTTAAAAAAGTAATGGAAACACTCTGTGATCATGACATTCTTATCAACAAAAACAAATGTTTAACAAAAGCCAAAGAACTCGACTTTTTTAGGACATCATATATCATCAAATGGAATTGATGTAGATGAATGCAAAATAGAAACAATCAAAAACTTCAGACCACCAAACTTTAAACAAGCAGTTCGTAGTTTTCTGAGGCTCGTTACTTATATAGGAAAATGTATTCCATACTTAGGAAATACAATAGAACCTTTGCGATAGTTAACAAAAAATTAAGGAAATTTTCTCAGGGCCAATATGCGTCAGGAACACTTTGGCCAACTCAAATTTGCTTTGGCGAGACTACCTATTTTATCATACTTTGATCTAAGGAAGGGAACGCAGTTAATTGTTGATGCAAGCCCAGTAGCCTTTAGAGCTGTATTGTTACAGTTTGATGAAAAGCAAAATCCACAGGTTTTTGAAAGATTATACTTACACTTTACAGGAATAGAATGTGAATTAGAAACAGATCTCAAACCTCTGGAAGCAATTTATAAGTAGGTATACTTTAAAACCACATGCGCGAACCGATCTTTGGGTAGTAAATATTGAAGTTTTAGTGACTCCATTTCATATTTAAAGTAGTCTATAAAGCAAGAACATCAAATATTGCTGATTCTTTGTCCAGACAAACAAAATGAGCTCAATGATGCTCAATGAGAGCATTATCTCAGAGGTAACAAAAGCCAGCAAATTGGATAAAGAAATAACCCAAGTGGTAGAGAAAATTAACCAAAAATCTTGGGAATCATCTCATAAAAGCAGCTACTATGCATTCCACCTCGAACCTTCCACATTAGGACCAATGATAATAAGAGGCAACCAGCTAGTTATCCTTTCATCAGAAAATGTCAAAATTATCTCATGAACATCATCCAGACAAAACTGTAATGCACGGAAAATAATTAATAAATTGTCTGTGAATGCTAACAAAAGTTCGCTGGGCAATGTTAGTTGTCAGATCTAAAAAGTTTTCAGGTTAAACGAAAAATGTTACCGTGTAGGGCGAACAGCAACAAAGAGGCACCCCAGTCCGACTCCTATGTATTTTGAAGGAAAAATATGTCAGCTTAGTGGTTTGTGTTTTCATGTGCCAAAAAGTAACACGTGATGGCGCTGTTCTCAACACTCGCTCAAAATTCACTAAAGCAATAGAAAAATATCATAGAAACGAATAAATTATTTGTTTTTATAATGAAATCTTGTTGTTAGTGATGTTAAAAATACACGATAAGAAATAATATTGTATTTTTAACTCATAAAAGATGATAGAACAAGTGAATAATTAGTATGAAAATACATAAATGTGTTGTACAATAAACTGATGACTTTCGTTTAAATCGTTTAAATTATCAGATAAACTGATTTATAATAAAAGTTAAAGGAAAGTCATAGATAAATAGTATATTTAAAATAAAGAAAACAAATTTAGATAATATAAATAGCATTAACCCTCCGTCACACACATGAGAAAATATTCCGACCTTACACACGTTCAGAGGGAATCGCTCACCACATTGTAAAATAAGCAACATTACAACATAAACGAAGGAATCAACAAAAATTTAGTTTTAACACAAACTTACAAATATGTAGTAAATTATTCTAAATTATAAAATTAATCAAATTAATTTTCGGTCTCAAAAATAAAAATTAATTACACGAATGCACATCTTCAAAGAAATTCCACTCGACATGTAAAAATAATGTAACATTAACAAATAAGCAAAAAAATCATTAAACAATTTATTTTAATTATATTTATAATATAATTTTGTCATCAACCAACAGTGGAACAAAAAATGTTTTTAAAACTTGATTTTTTTATTAAACATAACCTGACTTTTTCGAGTTTTTTCTGGCTTTGAAGCTTCGTAATTAAATATTAATTATGTTTAAACTAAATGTTTTTTTAGAAATGTGTTGAGGAGTAAATTGTCGAAAGGTATAGAAACTGATTTTATTTTGCAATGAGGAAAACAAAAGTTATTTAAAAAATACTGAAACCGTAGAGGGAATCCCTCCCTAGGTGTGTGACGGAGGGTTAACTTTAATCCATTTTTTTATTTATTATTTGAGATGAAATTTTACTCAAGACAAAAACAAACATGAACGTATACAATGAATAAAAAATATAATATTAAATAAAAATTTAAAAGTTTTAAACTTTTTTTAAAATTTTTAAACTAAGGCAAGCTTTGCCGGCTACTTATTAAAAACATTTTCACTTTTTAAACAATATGCTCTTTTTACAACATTAAAATAGTTTTTAATGTTAATACTTTTTTTACTTTCACATTTTTTTATAAAATTTAGTTGAGATTTCTAACCGATTTCAACACAACAAATACAATAATGAATGAGGTAACGAATATTGCTGACGAGTAGTGAGTACTGCGCCATCTCGAGGAACTTTTTTGCACATTAAAGTGCAAACCACTAAGCTGACTACTTTCTGGGAAAGACGGACAGGGGTGAAAGAGGCTAAGAATAACACTGCAAAAAAAAGTATCTTAATTTAAGATGTTTTGGTATTCATTTCTAAGATGTTTTGGTAGACACTTTTTAGTTACTTGAAACATCTTAATTTAAGATGTTAAAAGTATCTTCGTACACATTTTCTGTGGTATTTTTGGGGAAAAAAGTTTTGAGGTTAACTATGGACTCTTATGGAAGACATCTTTATGTATCTTAGTTTTTAGTAACTTACACTTATGGCGCATCTTACGATTCTCAAGTAACTTAATATCGCTAAACATTATCTTATTGCAACACAAAAACATCTTAATTTAAGATACTTTAAAGAACTTACAAAAGTATCTTACTTTTCTAAGATGAAAGAAATATCTTCATTACTGCTAAAACGTATAAAGCATCTTAAATATCAGTAAGATGCTTTAGAAAACATCTTATTTTAAGATGTAAGATACCATTTTTCCATCTTACATCTTATTTTAAGATATCAAAAAAGACACCTATTTTTGCAGTGAACGACAGTAGCAATAAGCAGAAAGGAAAGGATAGAGAAGACCTCCCATAGGTGCTAAAAAGAATGATTCAAATCCAGGAGATATGGTAGTACTTAAAAACAGAGTTGTTGCAAACAAACTAACACCATGTTTTGACAAAGCAAAATATGAAATATTAAAAAAGGAAGGAAATGAACTTGTCATGTGTCACATGTTAAGAAACTGTTTAAATCTACGAAGAATAATCCAACGCAATCCTTACATCATCCAATAAACACTGGTTCACAGAAATCATCGTATTTTGAAGTAGATCAACAATGGTTGTGACAAGTCAAATAGACCAAAGATAGGACCACTGAAACTGATAAGAAAGGAGGGAATGCGGAGACCGGTAAATGACAGAAGTGGAGAGAGGGACGAGCTGAGATGCTGACAGTCGAAAGTGCTCGTGTTTAATATGATAACTGAACTCCAATAAGTGTTCGGAGTTCAGTTGCATTCGTGAAGCATTATTGTTATATTATCGATTTATATTAACTAATAAATATTTGTATTCATTTGAATCAATAAAGATATATTGGTTAAGAACATCAAGGTTGCACAGGTTTCTATAAAAACTCCCATAAGAATTTACATGGGATCCTTATGGGATTTCTTGTAGGAAGCTATATTGGATTTTCCAGTAGGGAATCAACTAAAATGAGTAATAATAAAATATTAAAGTCAATGATCACTCCGGATCTAGGTAATGAAAGAATTAAAAGCAATTCTTTATATTTTAACAGCACATCTATCTTCAATCGAAACATGTCAATTTTTAGAAATTATTTTAATTTCACAATTATGTTCAGAAAGAACGTCTTCGTTTTAATAAGAACGATTAGGCACTGTGTTCCACGCTTTTGACGCTTCTCTATTTTAATACCTGAATAATGAAATCATCATTTACATAAAATGATTTAAGATTCTAAATTTTTTTAATAGATAAATTACTGTGAGCACTAAATCAGCCATAAACAATTCATTACAATTTTTCTGCTTTAAAATTAATTTTAATAATTATATAAGAAATGTCTTTTGCTTAATTTTTTGAAATAATAAAATATTTTATTTCAGATGTGACAATATACGTGGGATTAAGGAAAAACAAAATGTAAAATATGTTGTACCAATGAACTTCATAACAATTTTTTAAAAACTATCTTAATAGGCACATTACCTTATGATTTAGTGATATGTGTCATAATGAAAAATATTTTTATTCTTCTCTTCTTATACGTTTCAATTTCATTTTCAAAAGAAATTAAAATTAAAATTAATCCACGTATTATTAATACAAGGTATGGTAAAGTTCAAGGATTAATTCAATCGTTTGAGTACAATAAATTTCTGAAACCCATCGATGTGTATCTTGGAATGCCATATGCTACACCGCCTACTGGTAATAATCGATTTTCACCAACTAGAGCACCTAGTCCTTGGGATGGAATTAGGTAAGCAACATAGTAGAGATTACAAATATTTGATATTGCCTCTTTTGAAATAAAAATATTTATTAATATTACCGTTAATTTTTAGATTATTTGATTCAGTAGGACCTGTGTGTCCTCAGAATTATCCAGATATTTCTAATGAACCAGAAATTTTAACACAAATGCCAAGAGGAAGGATAGAGTATTTAAAAAGACTTTTACCCTACTTACAGAATCAAAGTGAAGATTGTCTTTATCTAAACATATACGCTCCTACAATGGGTACGTTATGAAAATTGTAATTATCATTGTAATTAAAAAGATGATATGTAGTTGTTGTAATTTAAAACAATGATAAAAAATATCCTTAGGACATCCTTGAATATTTTAAAATATATGTTGCTATTAGGAAGGTGCCTTATTCAAAAGATAGTTAAAATTTCTTAACCTATGTTTAACACTATAATTATATGACTTGTCTCAAGTAGCACAAAATATATCGTCAATGTTGGGTCAACCCACACAGCATCGAAGTATTGGAGATATCTCTGGGATGGCATAAAAAGATCCTTTTTATTCTGCGGTTAGATATCCATAGGATGCTACATGGATATGTATGGACATTCCTGCGCTATCGTAGGGATATAAAAATAACCTAATGAAAAAAAGTATTTCTAGGACATCCCATAGATATTCTTAACATTCCGATACTATGATATACTATTAGGTGATAGCATAGGCATGAATATTTCCCAAACATCAAATAACCGAAGTGTCACTTAAGACAGTAGTCTCCTTTAGAAGCCAAAAAAAGCGTTTTTCAGCAATTTTTTGAAAGGGAAGGAAATGATTGCGGTATACAAAATTTTTAGGTGATATTCTACTGTATTTCAACTTAAAAAACAATTTTTATTATTCAAAAATATTGAAATTCTTCTAAGTTACAACGATTTTTCTGGAGCGCCTGCAGTCTGCACTTGCAAATCGGTGCCGGTGATGGAGGTCGTGCGATGCATCTAAAACAGTCAAACCATTTTTTTTTCAAATTTTTATAAGTTTCTTTTCTATTTGAACTAGAAAATAACGAAGAAGTTATAAAATTCCAAATTTTTTCAAAGTTTGAAAAAAAATTACTTTTTAAAAAAAAAATTCGGGGCGCATGTTTATTCCCCAAAATTCAATTTCATAATATTCAAAACATCGAAATTCTTATTATCGAAACGTCAATTCACATAATTTTTATATTTCGAAAGGCTTCGTCCATAAATTACGTCACACTTTTTAGGGGGGGAGGGGGTCTATGAAAATGTGACTAATTGTGACAAAGGGGGGGTGGGGATCTTTTATTTTGTTATGTCACACTTTGTACTCTATTTATTATAATGAGAAAATTTTAATAAATAAAAATATCAAACATATTTCTTGTTTTTAAAATATTAAAAAATGTACTAATCATATAAGTAACTTTATTGGGTGTACTTCCGAAAAAGGGGGACCTCTGATTTTAATAAAACTTGGTATACCAACGTATTTTGATGCGCTGATTACGAAAATGATAATGAAAATTGGCGCAAATTTGATGTTAAAAAAAAAACCATAAAAAACCATAAAATTGTGTTTTTCTTGCGTATAATTCGTAAAAAACGAAAGATATATTTCCGAAAAGCGCATACTTACCTCCGATATTAATAAAAGTTGGTATACTTACGTAATTTTGTGCCCTGATTATGAAAATCATAGTGAAAATTGGTGACTAGATCATCTTCATGGTAAAAACCATAAAAAACACCATATAATTATGGTTTTTTACGTTTAACTCGTTGGATTGGATTAATCATAATTTTTTGTGTTTGAAAATATTTGTAAATTTTTCTCTGCTTTTATATTCTGAAAAATCCAAGGTGAATGCCTCCTTTCTCCTCGAAATAAAAGCAGAAAAAAAATTTACAAATATTTTTAAACACAAAAAATTATGGAGGAGGAAGGAGTTATCCACCTTGGGTTTTTCAGAATTAAATAGAAAACAAAAAATATCACAATTATCTCTGCAATCAATGAAATTTTGATAAAAAAAAAAAATTTCCAACTGAAGGTGAATGACTCCTTCTTCCTCCATATAAAACAAAAAAAAATTTACAAATATTTTTAAACACAAAAAAATATGATTAATCCAATCCAACGAATTATACGCAAAAAACCACAATTTTATGGTTTTTTTAATAGTTTTCACCATGAACATCAAATTTACGCCAATTTTCATTATCATTTTCGTAATCAACGCATCAAAATACGTTGGTATACCAATTTTTATTGAAATCGGAGGTCCCCCTTATTCATTTTGGAAAAATTTATTAAAGGGGGATTTACGAATTATGACGTAATTTAGAGGGAGGGGGTTCCTTCAGATGTTACGCAGTGTGACAAAGGGGGGGGGATCAAAAATGGGCTAAAAACGTGTGACGTAATTTATGGACGAAGCCTTAAGGGGGGGGGGGTAGGGTCAAACAACTTTCAAAAAATCGTTTATTTTTATTTTTTTATAGTAGAACATCTCAGAAATGTCCCTTGAAATTTTGAAGTCATTTGGAGCAAAATTGCCAAAGTTATGGAGCTTTTACCCCTTGATTGTCTCCGTACCTGAATTGACAAAAGTTATAAATAAACAATAAAAAGTGATAAAAAAAATTTTGTTTTTACATTTTTCGGAAGCTATTAAGATTTTGTTCAGGGACACAAAATAAAAATTAAATTGATGCAAAACTCTAGTAGATATTACAATATTAACATCGTTTGAGCAGGTGAATATTTTGTCCAGCGAATACTTTTATACGCGTTTTTCTCAAAACGACCATTTTCAAAGTCGGTGAACATCATAACTCAAAAACTACTGCACCAATCTTCACAAAACTTGGCATACTTTTTTAACACATAAAATACCCGACCCCAACGTTTTTCTTTTGTTTATTTATTTATTTTTTTCCAAGATATAGCAACAAAATGGCGGATTTTTTGAGTGAAAATAGCGTTTTTTGCTTCCTTTAGTCGCAAAAAATACAAAATTCAAAAATTTTCAAAAAGGAAAACGTTGGGGTCGGGCAAAATTATTCTTCTAAGCAAATTCACTTTAGTTTTTGAATTTCGTTAATGTGTTAATTAATTATGATGTTCACCGCAAATCATGTTTTTCAGAAAGTGTTTTGGAAAATGCTCCGTCAGCAGCATAATTCTTAATATTTTTAAACAAAAATTTTACAAAATCTTCTTCAAATACTAACTAATAACATGCAAAAAAATTTAACATATAAACTTTTACCATTTCTTCAATAAAAATTCACAAAAAAGATGCTTTTTTCAGCCGTTAGACCCTACCCCCCCGCTTAATACTTCTAACCAACAAACATTAGTCAGAATAAAAATTATGTTAAAAAACAATTCGATTATTTAAAAATTAGAATCAATGATTATTCGACAAAATGAAAATTATGTTGAATGGTATTTCGAAATATGAAAATTATGTGAATTGACGTTTCGATAATAAGAATTTCGATGTTTTGAATATTATGAAATTGAATTTTGGGGAATAATCATGCGCCCCAAAAAATTCACTTTAAGTTGCAAAAGAAGTAATTTAAATAATACTTTTGTCCAACTATTTTAGTTCAAATAGAAGATAATTTAATACTGAAGCTAGATCACATTGATTTTTGTCGATTGGTAGAGGTGTGCAAAAAGCTCGAAGCTCAAAACTCGATCGGGTATTTTCGAGCTTTTCATTTTTCGAGCCGAGCCGAATCGAGCCCGAGCCGGGCTCGATGTATCGGGTACCCGAAATTTTCGAGTACCCGAAACTTTCGGGTACCCGAATTCACTCGGGTACTCGAATATTTCGGGTACTCGAGTGAATTCGGGTACTCGAAATTTTCGAAAACTCGATTTGATTCGAGTTTTTGAGAAAATCCAAAACTTCCTACATTAATTTTTAATTAAATTAAAAAAAAAAATTTTCTTTTTAAATTTAAAAGCTTGAATCAAATTGAGTAGGTTCTCAAAAATTTCGAGTACCCGAATTCACTCGAATACCCGAAATATTCGAGTACCCGAGTAAAATCGGGTACCCGAATGTTTCGGGTACTCGAAAATTTCGGGTACCCGATACATCGAGCCCGACTCGGGCTCGACCCGGCTCGGCTCGAAAAAATTGCGGCCCGGCTCGGCTCGGCTATTCGAGCTTTTTGCACACCTTTATCGATTGGACAAATATTCTTTCTTATCCCACATGCACAAAAATGGCGCTTTCTGATAGCAGACGACAGGGAGGAAAGTCATTCACTTGTTCGACTTGTATGAAAATGGCGGCTATTTTCATACAAGTCAAACAAGTGAATGACTTTCCTCCCTGTCGTCTGCTATCTGAAATCGCTACTTTTGTGCATTAGGAATAAAAAATATCGTAAGTAACACGAGAATATAGGCACAAAAATCACCGTAAAGAAATGGCTGCCTTAATTTATCCTCTTGTCGTTTAATATACTATTTGCTATCGCCGGCACCGTTTTCTATGACGTGTGAAAATGAAAATTCGAGAAAACGCGCTTTAAAGTTTTCGGTCCAAAAAGATATGTTTTTGGATACTTACACTAATTAAATGTTAATCAGCTATTCCTGGGCCATACAGCAATTCTTCCTCTTCTTCGAAGAACTCATTTTGGCGGAGGTTTTCTGATAGTCGAGCTGCGTGAACCTCCTTGCTCGAAAACCTCGAAAATGATGCGCGCCGGTTTTCCCACGTTATGCGCTCAGCATCGATGTTGTCTGCAAAATTCTTGCATTGCTGCCCGATGACAATATCGAGGAGCTGCATAGTGGAAAGCACAGATGCATAGTTTTGGCGTTAGGCGCCACACAAACGAATTGAACGCTTCGTTCGAATTTTGAGTGTATGTATACACCTTTTCAGGTGTATACAAGGTTAGGTAAAGAATAGAACGCTCTAAAATTTTAAAGACATATTCTTCGATAGTTTTGGAATAGATTTAAGACAAAAAAAGTTGATTTTTAAGCCTATAAAGGAGACTACTGCCTTAACCATAGTGCATATTACATTTTGTAAATACAAAACTCCCATGAGACAAGTTTCAAGCAAATTAGATGATTTTTGTAAAAATTCCCTGGTGGAAAAGATTTTATAAAGTGTGAACTAATACGTTAATGCAACGATCTTAATCCAGGACTCCCAAACAACTTAAATGGAAAAAGGTTATTAATTTTGTTAAAAATTGTTGAAGTTGTTTAACTTTTCTTAAAATTGAATCCTTTTTTGACAGTATTTAAGGCTATGTAAAAAACTACATATAGTTTAAGTGACAAAAGTTGCACCGTATCTTATAGTCCTACATTTAAGCTAAATTTTAAGCGCAAGGATGTTAAAATGCAAAAAAATTACGCCGGGGAAACAATTTCGTGCGCTTTTTTGCTATTTTCTCCCACTGTGAGGCAGATTCAACTTCTACCACATTTTCTGTAAAATTCGCTTTTTCAAGTTATGGTGCCTTTTGAATCTGGAATGTCACATATTTAGAAATAATAAAATAATTATAATGTGCACAGAAATAATTCTCCTTTATTATTATTCCAGGTACAATTGATAGTGGTAAAAGATTTCCAGTAGTATTATATATTCATGGAGAAAGTTATGAATGGGGTAGTGGCAGCCTATACGATGGTAGCGTTTTGGCAAGTTATATGGATCAAGTGATTGTGACAATCAATTATCGATTAGGAGTTCTAGGCTTTTTGAATACTAATGTTTCTCCACAAACACGAGCTAGAGTAGCTAACTACGGTCTAATGGATCAAATTGCAGCCCTTCATTGGATTCAGCAGAATATATTTTTATTTGGCGGTGACCCAGGTAATGTTACATTAATGGGACAAGGAACTGGTGCAGCCTGTGTTAACTTTCTCGCCATCAGTCCTACAGTTATGAATGGTAATGTTGCTCTAAATATTTATATGAACTCAAATAGCACAAAATATATAAACAATATTATGATATATTATTGAAAAATATTATTCAGGGTTTGACATATTTTGGCTTTTTTGGCGGTTCATAAATTATGTCCCATGCAGTAAAGGCATACAGTCAGGTCATGGTTATATGGCTGTTTTCGGCGTTCACCCGGTGTTAACAAAAAAACACTTACTTTTTTTATGAGTTATCGGAATGGTTTCCGATGTATTTTTGGAGGCTGATCACAATCCTGACTTCCAACATTGCCCATCACGTCAGGATTTTTAGAAAAGTAGAGGTAAAGACCCCAAAAACGCTTTCTTGAGGACTTTCAACATTTTTTTTCTCTTTAACCTGACGTGTTAGATACTTCCACAAGGTCTTAAATTAAAGCTTTTGATGTGCACTACAAGACCCATATCCATAAAATACAAAAAAAATTCAAAAAATGGTGTTGAAGACACCAAAAATGTGTGTTTTTGGATTACTTTAATAAGCTTCTTGCAATTGCTTGGATTCGCTTGAAAATAGTTACTCGGGGATTTTGGGGTCGCTGATTATACGAATCCTATATAAGTTTTTAAAAATTTAAAATAGCGAAACCAAGATGGCAGATGTAAAAATTAAGAATCGCTTGAATTCGCTTAAAAATTGTTACTCCAGGGTTTTTGGGGTCGCTGATTACGAATCTCTAACACGTCAGGTTAAAGAGAAAAAAATGTTGAAAGTCCTCAAAAAAGCATTTTTGGGGTCTTTACCCCCACTTTTCTCAAAATTCTGACGTGATGGGCAATTTTGGAAGCCGGGATCGTAATCAGCGTCCAAAAATACATCGGAAACCATTCTGATATCTCATAAAAAAGTAAGTCTTTTTTTGTTGACCTGTGTAATTATTAAATTGGGGTTAACACCGGGTAAACGCTGAAAGCAGCGTAAGTAAACTTACTGTAAATTTATTGTAAGGTGATAATGTAATGCAATACAATAAAGTGTGAATAAATTAAAAAATTATAACCATAAAATGAGGCGTTTTGATAAACAATCGACTAATTCAATGCATTTGTCCAAAAAATGGTTCGGCCAGTGTTTCACAACAAATTTTTTTCCAGCTCAGTAAAAAATTTACCAGATTTCATAAAAAGGAAAAATGTCATTGTGGATTTAAATTTACCAATGTGGTACGCATTACAAAAAGAAGAGACTATAATGTGACCCATCAAATCAAGAACATACAATGCCTTCAACACTCCCGTGGCTGAAAGGAAGCATTTAAGTTTGTTACACTGAAAGAATTTTGGGGAGGCTGCTGACTTTTTATGTCCGAAATTAGTGCCCCTTGCTCAGGCCTCGCAGCTCACCTCAAAAAAGCGAGCATCTACTCCCGAAAGGTGAGCTGCTGCCCCTGAGGAGTTGCTGCTTACCTTTCGAGACTAGATTCTCGCCTTTTTGAGGTTAACTGCGAGCTTGAGGCAGCGAGCTCTAGCAGCACTCATGTAAAGCCTGCAGCCTGCCCAAAATTCTTTCAGTGTAGGTGTTTATAAGTATCTAGTACGATTTATCTTGTTGAAATGCTGCTTCGGACCACTTTATTCTTTATCCTATCCACTAAACATAAAACGTGGTAAGAAGAAGCGATTCAACAATGAGAATTAGACTATACACTTATCAGTATCTGTACAACTTAAACAAAGTCTGGCAGCAGGCAGTCAGAGATTTCGAAACTTTAGGCACTGATTCCGGCGGAATTTATTCAAATAATAAATTTTCTAATTTTTTCTCGTTTTATGGAAAAATTCGACGATCTCCAAGAATTCTATTAAGACAAGAGAACTGCGATATGCTATCTTCCCAGATATCAAAAGTGAGCGTATGTTTACGGACAGCACGGAACCCCATAATCCGATCAAATTTTAATATTTCTGATCACTATATTAGAACCGACATTTTAATTTTTTTTAAACTGACCTTAAATTCGTAATTAGCGACCCCAAAAAAACCCGAGTAACAAGTTATAACGGAGTCAGATCAAAATTAAAATTTTTATGGTCGCCATATTTAAACCGTCATTCTGATTTTATGAAAACTTACATTTGATTCGTAGTGAGAGACCACGGAAACCCCAGAGTAACAAATTTTAAGCGATTTTAATGAGTTTTTAAAAATGTTTAATTTTACACTCTCTCCCACAAAAACAACGTGTCTTTTTTCCCATAGTTTTTTTAGATTTTCGGTGTTTTATTACAGTCGATGAGTATTACTTGGGTACTTTTCAGAGCCGTATTATCCAGTAGGCTATATTAGGATGCATACTAAGGGCGCCACGCCAAATGGTGAAATAATAACAGTAAAACGACATAAAGAGGAAATGTAAATGTAGATTCACTTATTAAAAAAATTTTCTTAATTAAACCCGAGGAATCGCATATAAGAACTCATCAATGTTATTGCTAATCATGAATTAAATTCATACCATGGTATACATTTAACGTTGCACTGTTGTAGCTTTACTTGTAAATCTTACTTGGTGCGAGCAAATGAACACACATAAGTGTCATATTTAAAACATATCACTGTGGTGGTACCCTATTAAAAACACCCACATGGGATCCTACATAGGATCTTACGTGGGTTCTTATACAAAAACCTGTATAAAATCCCAGGTCCAACGTAAGAATCCACATGGGATCCCATGTTAAAGCACATGTATATTTGGGACACGATTTAGAGTAGGAATTCATGTGGGAATTTAAGTTTGTGTGTCTACATAAAAATCTACATGGGTTCCTATGTGAGAACACATATAGGATTCCATAAAGGATTTCATATGGGTTTTCATGTTACGTATATAAGATTTAACATAGGATTTCACAAAAGATTTGATATCTTATTACATTAGGGATCCATTGTGAGAATTTTCAAAGCTTTTAAAATTATTTAATTAAAAATTAAATAATAATTTGCATTTCAAATCATCAGTAAGAAAAAAAATTCGATAATTTGAAACACTTCTTCTGAGCTTCTTCTTCTGAATCCCACGTAAGATCCCATATATGGTTTCATATGCGGGAAATAACATGGGATCTTACGTGGGATTTTACACAGGAATGGAAATTATATGAATTCCCAGGTGAGATCGTATATTATTTCCAATATAATTTTCCACATGGGATCTTACATAGGATCTCACGTGGTTTTTTTTATTAATGGTACAGAGTACCACAGTTTATATACTTTCACCGCCAGGTGGCGAGTGCGACTTCTCCCCCTGTTAACATGATTTTTGAACACTATATAACTGAGAGTTTACAGCTCAGAAGAAGTGTTTCAAATTATCGAATTTTTTTTCTTACTGATGATTTGAAATGCAAATTATTATTTAATTTTTAATTAAATAATTTTAAAAGCTTTGAAAATTCTCACAATGGATCCCTAATGTAATAAGATATCAAATCTTTTGTGAAATCCTATGTTAAATCTTATATACGTAACATGAAAACCCATATGAAATCCTTTATGGAATCCTTTATGGAATCCTATATGTGTTCTCACATAGGAACCCATGTAGATTTTTATGTAGACACACAAACTTAAATTCCCACATGAATTCCTACTCTAAATCGTGTCCCAAATATACATGTGCTTTAACATGGGATCCCATGTGGATTCTTACGTGGGACCTGGGATTTTATACAGGTTTTTGTATAAGAACCCACGTAAGATCCTATGTAGGATCCCATGTGGGTGTTTTCAATAGGGTATATCCTAATGTTAATATAATATTTAGACCCATAAAAACTTAAAACTGCGGGGAAGGTAAACATACGAGAAATAATATAAATATCATTCATTTACAGGACTTTTTAAAAGAGCTATACTTTTGTCTGGAAGTGCTCTATCATCTTGGTCATTAGTAGAAGATCCTGTGACCTATGCTGTAAAGTTAGCAACGTCCATTAACTGCTCAATTCCAGATGATCTGTTAAAAGATAATGAACTTATAGTAGATTGTCTTAGAGAAAAAAATCTCCAAGAATTACTTAATGTACAAGTAGAAGCACCAACATTTTTAAGTGCCTTTGGACCAAGCGTTGATGGAGTTGTAATTAAAACAGACTTTCAGAAAGACCTATTATCTTACTTGGATACAGAATTCCAAACATTTGGGTAGGTATTTATTGTAATAGTTAACAACAACATCCTAATAAAATCGTTTAGGAACATCTATTTCAGAGATGATGTGATCCTTGAATTAACAATCATAGAAGAGAAAAAACAAAAAAAAAACTTCCTAATTAAAGTATCAAACCCAAAAAAGACCCCCTACGACAACAAAAAATTTTAAAAAGGCCTTATGTATAGTTTACGATTTACGTCTTACGATTTTCAATGTTCTTCCTAATGGTGTACACCAGTGAGAATTAAGAGGTCTAATCGAAGTATAAGGGCTGGTTCCAGCACAACTGTATTAGCCAGAGTTTAAATCGATGAACTTTGTCTAATTACAGTACTGAACCAAGTTCACCGACCTAAACTCCGGTTAAAACAAGTTGTGGAACCGGCTCTTAGATGTCATTTAGGCATCGATTAGACATCTACTTAGCATCCAATATGTCTAATAGATCACTAATTTTTCTTAAGTGTAAAGCCTAATTCTGCGCATAAATCTATCATAAATATTTATTCAAATCATCTGAAAATAATATTGAAAAAAATTAGAATCATCACAGTTTTTATTGATTTATAATAAATGATGTTTCCTGAAAATGGTGTTATTTTAAAATCAGTGATGTCAGTGGAACTGACAACTGATTATATGATAGCTCTTTTTTGTTTTTAAGTAATAATACAATATTGTTATTAATAAATAAAGTATAGAAGTAACTCCTATATTTAATAAAGTAATATATTAGATTTGCCTTCCTAAATAAAAAAGCCTAGAACTGACAGTGGTTTTAATATTGTTTTGCACGAAGCTTTACAACCTAAACTCAAATTATAGTTATAGACTTTTTACTTTGTACGGCAGAGATATTCATACATTTTTTAAAACAATTGTATAATTGAAAATTCTTTCTAATGCAGTCAATTTCACAAAAAGTCTGAACATGGAACCCCAATTACGAGTAATAACAAATATGATTTGCTCTTTGGCGTTACGACAAATGAAGCACTTTGGAAATTTGCTGATAAAGACATTCAACAAGGATTTGAAGGAGACAGAAGGGATCGAATTATTAGAACTTACGTGAGGAATTCCTATTCTTATCATCTGACTGAAATTTTTTATACGGTGAGAAATTAATTACTTATATTTTGAAGCAGAATCATTATGTCACTCCAAAAAAACTTGAGTTATATATGGTGGATTCCAAACCAGTTCAAAATATTATTAAAAATTTAAACGCGTAGATAGAATGAGATAGAATAGGACACAATGATATATCTATCCTCTTTTAACCCATTTGTTGCTTTAGGCATTTGTTTTTGATTATCAACAATATAGAGGTGTTCAAAATTCGATTCGAACTAGTCAATTCGAAAATCGGCGTTTCGAATTTCGAATTGCAAAACTCGACTCGTTATACTTTCGATTCGAATCTGCCAATTCGAAGTTTCGAATTGGAATTTTCGACTTTCGAATTGCACAACATACTGCACACACATCATAGCACATTACATAGCAATTCGAAATTCTAACTTCGATTTTCGAATTGGCCGACTTGATTCGAAAATCGAGTCAAGTCGAAACTTCGAATTGGCCGATTCGAATCGAAAGTTAACCTAGTCGAGTCGTGCAAATCGAAATTTCGAATTCGCCGATTCGAATCGAAAGTAGACCGAGTCGAGTTGTGCAATTCGAAACGCCGATTTTCGAATTGATTAGTTCGAATCGAATGATATCGAATTATCATCTCTCCGATTGGAATTTTTTCTTGTCGAGTCGATTAATGTTCGGTTCGACTCGATTAAATGCACACCTCTACAATAATACCGTTAGTCATTTGTTTAACTATAAAATTTTTTTCAATTTAAAAGAAATAAAAACTTTTAGGTAAATGTCCCTATTTGTGGACTACTTAATTTTCTACTACATTTAAAAGTGAAAAATGCCCTTTTATGTTTTTTTATAAAAATCTTCTTTTACGATAAGAAGATATATTAATTTTTAAAGCAAATTGTTCTATTGTCAATGTATAGGGCGTTTCATATGAAAACGACATATGATGTCTTAGATTTTTCTCATATTATGAGAATTGAGAGTGATTAGGGTCCTAATGAAGTATACTAAGTAACAATAAAAAATTATTTTTATTTTTCTAGATATTTGCATTAAAAAATTTTTGGAAAACTTTTTTATTTTGGAAATAACTTTTTGTTGCTTTGAGATACAAAAAATTGTTCTGAACATTTTTTGTGCTCAAAATATTAAACTTTTAGAGAAAAATTACTAAAATTAAAAATGATGAATTTTAGGTTCATTTGTTTAAACAATAAAATTTGTTTTTAATATTTAAACCCTTTCTCCTTGTTTCTCAGGTCTGAAAAAATTATGAACATTGTTGATAATAATATAATAAAACTTTCCTGAAATTTTTAGCTTGCCGTTATTTTTTGTTTTTGAGAAAACAATTCCTAAAGATTACAATGCAAGCGCTCCGCCCAGCGGGGGGCTGTCCGCCAGGTGTGAAGAGGCGCCAATATAGAAGTTATTATTGAATAAGGAAAAAAATGTTAATTTGCACATTTAATATATTTGAAATATTTACTAATTTAACAAAAAACGGTATGCTGCCCCCGAAAATTCCAGAAGACCAACGAGTGATTTTATTTTAAATTCAAAAAATTTTTTATGTCGTTAGCAGAGGAACAACAATAATAAAATTTAAACATTGTAGTAAAGAAGAACACAAAAAATTGAACATAATTTAGTTGATCGATTCCAATAGGATCGTTTATGCATGGAGAAACATGAAATATACAATTAGGATTATAGAAAAAGAAGATCATACTAAATATTATCTGATTAATACTCATTATAATGTATTATCAACCTTTCAATGTTTACAATTGTTAATTGTAACCATTTTTTCATTCCTAATTAAAAAATGTTTTATTTTAATTATTACAGAGATTATTATATATTTAACCTTTTTTAAAAGTGTTTTTATTTTTTGTAAAATATTAATTTTGTGTCGAATAAGAATAATAATTTTTTACATTATTAGGTTAGTACTGATTTGTAAAAATTAAATTTTTTAAAAATAACTTCAAGAAAAACAATTATATTGAAACCAGTTATACTGTTAAATAAAATCAGTTCGAAGCATCCTTTCATTTCCTGTTCTTTTTTATTCCTTTAATATTTAGAAATGTAAATAAATTACAGTTAAAAATTACATGAAATTATTTAACGTTTTTGAAAGTAATGAGATGATTGTACCTTACAGGGGAGGGAAAGGCAGGGGTCTTCTTTTTTCGAACATTTAAATACATTTTTTTTTAATAGTAAATATTTAAAATATATTAAATGTGCAAATTAACATTTATTTCCTTATTCAATAATAATTCCAATATTTACCTGAAAAACAGGGAGAAAGGGTTTAAATATTAAAAACAAATTTTATTGTTTAAACAAATTAACCTAAAATTCATCATTTTTAATTTTAGTAATTTTTTTCTGAAAGTTTAGTATCTAGAAAAATAAAAATAATTTTTTATTGTTACTTAGTATACTTCATTAGGACCCTAATCACTCTCAATTCTCATAATATGAGAAAAATCTGTGACATCATATGTCGTTTTCATATGAAACGCCCCATATTGTAAATTATTGTATTTTTATGAAAAAAGGTTAATGTACCAATTTGTGAACCGATTAGTATTTGTCATGAATACGCTATAATACACTCACCTTTATATGCATCAGCTGTTTGAAAAGGTAAATTAATATTAAATCTCATAAATACTAACTTTAATTTATTATACTTTAGTTTTTTTTGCTCTGATAAACTCTAAAACGTTAACCTGTCAAATGACTTGATTGCTTGCAGATGGCAAAATGCAAAATTGAATTATTAAAACATGTGTTTCATAAAATAATGTTTCATGACAACAAAATACCTACGTTTCTGGATAAAAACTTACTACTTACAACAGTATATTTAATTGATTTCTATATAAATTTGCACATATATGCGCAAAGTCCACAAATCGGTACACGTGCATAAATAGGGACATTTACCTTAATACAAAAGTTAAAAAACATTAAAAATAATTTTTTAAATATGGGATTCCTAATTAGCGATCCCGAAAATCTCCGAGTAATCATTTTCATGAGTTAAGTTCAACTTTTTTAATTATTTCGTTAGAATTATTATACAAAATAAAAAGGTAGGCAATATAGGACGGAAAGTAAATTTGAAAATCTGTCCGTAAAGCCAAAAAAAATGTATGAAACTTATCTGGTTTGTAATTTGAAATATAATGTCTTTTGGTAAGATTTTTGTAAGTGATCCATCACTTGAGCAGCAGTGATCCACATACGGAGAAAATTTTATCTGTAGCTATTATGAAGACTTATATATATATGTTAGGCTCAAATCCCGAAAACGCTCATTGAGCAAAAAAATCGACCACAACGCATTCTCGACCCTTTAATGTATCAAAAACCCGAAATTCGTGTCGTGGCACTATCAAAAACGGCCATAACGCATTGTGGCAAACTCAAACGGTCAAAAAGCAAATTTCGTTTTATTTATCTTCTCATATTGGACCGCGACGCGTTGTGTCAATAAGAAAATGCCACAAAGCGTTGTGGGCGTTTATGCAATTCTACACGGAGAAAAATGGATAGTTAAAAGTAGATAGTTAAAAAAATATAATCAAATTTATTATCTGTATAGTTAGAAATACTATCTTCCTGAAATATTATATATTCCCGTTTAGTATATCTAGATAATCAAATTTATTATCCTGGATAGTCAACTTGCCGAGCGCTTGCGCAGAAGTTTGATTACCGATTACAACCGTTTTCGAATGAGTTTTTCTCTGCACACAGGCACTTTTTACAAAATCTGACAACGTACATTTGTCACAAATGTTTTTAATTGTCTGCATTCAAAAGATTTTGTTAATCCATGCAGAAACGCGGTTACAGGATTGGAAATACAAAAGGAATGTAATGACAGGTGGCTATACATATGTTGCAGCCACTTTGCCATTAGAGGGCAGAAGCATGCAGCGTGCGTAAAGGATCAGCTGTCAAAATGATTCGCATTACATTGCTATGGTAATTCCAATCCTGCAACCGCGTTTCTACAGGAATTGTCAAAATCTTTTGAATTCAGACAATTAAAAACATTTGTGATAAATGTACGTTGTCAGATTTTGTAAAAAAGTGTCTGTGAACAGAGAAAAATTTGTTAGAAAATGATTGTTTACCAATTTCACGTCATTTGAATCGGTCAGTGCCGTGTTTGTTGGGTGATAACTGCTAGTCGCACATTATCGAGAAATTTAAGAGACCATCGAACACCGTTATGCAGTTTTATATTATTAGAAGTTTAAAAACATTGCCAAGTTTTTTTATACTGAATTTCAGATATAATATTGCTTAAAAAATATATAGAACTTACGATTAGCAACATAACCTTTAAACCTGTCAAAAGGATTTAAACATTTCAAGGGTACCGTTAAATTAATGTATTTTGTTCTTTAAAATTTTCAGATTTTCCATAAAAAATTATTTATCCAGGAAAAATGTTCACTAATTTCTAAAAAAAAATTAACTTTTATCTTTAAATATTTCTTATTGATCAATTTAGATGTGTATAAACACAGCAACTTGCGTTTATTATCTAGGATAGTCAAAGTAAACATCTTGGATAATGGCAGTTAGTATGTAAGTTTGATTATCCCAAGATAGTAAATTTAACTATCTAGATGGTTGTCCTATAGTTAAGTATCCAAGATCGTCACCCTGACTATCTAGATAGTAAATTTAACTATCCATTTTTCTCCGTGTATAAATCGAAATATAATAGTCTATTAAATTTAACTATTTAAATTACACTACCGTCCACGAGTATCAGGACGACTGCACATTACACTATGGAAAAACATGCCATCACTTTTTCAATCATATCTCGGAAATAAAAGAAAATTCAAAAAGAACTTAAATACTGTTAGAAAGGTTATTAAATTTTGCGTAAAATATGCCGTTTTTGAAGTCATTTCGTTAACTATTTTTTGAGTTGTAGAGTGAGAAAGAAATAAAAAAAATTATCAAATTTTCTCATTGATTTCTCAATAATTCTCAATGATTTCAACTTTTTAGAAAATCTAGAAAAATTTAGATAAAATTTTTCTAAAAACACAGAAATCTTCGTTAGAATTTCAGCTCCAAAATAAGCTTTCGAAAATTAAAAAAGGTTAATCCGTCTTTCATTTATCATTAAAAGTGTGAAGCCGTTTTGTGACCGATCGGTGCATTGAAATTCAACTTTACACACTAAAAAAAAAGTTTTACTTTTAGCCTGTTTTCGAGGCTGAATTTAAGGTGTAAACGGAGTCAGCCCCATTAAACAAGGACAGACTTATGTGAAATACATGGGCTGAATTTAAGGTGTAAACGGAGTCAGACTTTTTTTTTCCTGTGTAGAAAAATTTTATCTAAATTTTTGAAAAAGTTGAAGTCAAGAGACAAAAATGAGAAAATTTGATAATTTTTTGTATTTCTTTCTCACTCTACATCTTAAAAAATAGTTAACGAAATGACTTCAAAGACGGCTTATTTTTTTACGCAAAATTTAATCAGCTTTTTAACCGTATTTAAGTTGTTTTTGTATCTCCTTTTATTTCCGAGATATGATTGAAAAAGTGATAGCATGTTTTTTTATAGAATCGTGTGTAATCGTCCTGATACTCGTGGACGGTAGTGTATAATTAGTTTATATAAACTTTTCTGTACTTTAAATTTTCTTTAAGCAAAATTTTCATTTTCCTAGAATATAGACTGTAAAAAAGCTGAACAACTACAAGTTCTATACCTTCATATTTTTCTACTTTAAGATTTTTATAAATTAAAATACAGTCAAATAAAAAATGTCTTTCAAATATTTCTTTAAATACTAATTTCTTGTGATTAAAATTTGTTTAACAAAAAACTCGAATTATTGCAGTTCTGATAAGTGGAAGTTCTAAGATTTTTATTTCGATGCCACAAAAATTATTGCAATTTCCTGGTGGGGAATAGTCATGCGTCCCCGCCTATCTTTATTGTTTCCAACTGTTCATATTATAAATTAATTGAAATATTTATTAAAAGTTTACTTTCTGCTTGTGATACAATCATATAATATATAACTATTGTTAAATCATTATCCTTTTCTGTATAATATTCTAAAAAGTTACTTTATTCACAGATTGTTAATGAGTATACTGACTGGGAAAGAACTGTGCAGCATCCTGTGAATATTAGAGATTCCTGTGTGCAAGCTCTTAGTGACGCTCAATATGTAGCACCATTGGTACAAATGGGAGATTTATTTACGTTGAGGCATACGAAAAAAATGAATTCGCCACACTCACTGCAAGTACATGAAACTGATAAGGAACCAGTTCCAAAAACTTACTTCTACGTTTTTGACTATCAAACTAAAGATGGTGATTATCCACAGGTAATTTATAGTTTTAAAATTCTTAATATATATACGTTTACTTTTAAAATAAATGAAGAAAAAAATTTTAAAGTCATTTTTTGTATTCATATTTTTAGAATATTATTTAAAAAAATTTATATCAAACAGAAAGCTATTTTCAACATTTATTTTATTTATTTATACACTCGTCTTTTTGCCTTAATACTAGCGTTTACAAGTGTCCCCGAGGAAATCTTCTTACATACTATAAACTTATTCTAAAGTTTTGCGCCTACGGAACGACTTGAAAATTAGGAGTACTCGCATTTGCCTGGACCACCCGTCTAATGGGTTTTCTCGCCAGTGGAGAGGGAAACTGTAGAAAACCTCTCCGAGTACAACCGGTTTTATCGACAGTCGAGTTCTAATGGTGTGTACCGGACAATAATCGACAGTGCACATCATTATACCTCGACGTCAAACCTCCCGCTCAGATTGTCTCACGTGCCGGAAAAATACCAAGCCAATTGGGCGCGAACCAAGGGTACTTACCCTTGGTCCTTAAACGACCGCCAATGCGAGGCATCTACTATCCGACTGAGCTAATCTGTCGGTCTATTTTCAACATTTAACATAAATTCATTTGTAAAATAATTAAAGCTTTTAAGGGCATGTCCAGGTTGTGAAATGTAAACAAACGAAACACAAAAAATCTCAATTTTGAAACAGCCTTTTCTCCCACAAAAATTGACGTTTTTACATATTCCTTACGAAAATGGAAAATTGGAGTGTCAAAGTTTACAGTGAAATCATTTTTGGCTAAAAAATAGCATTTAAAAGCAAATAGTAAAATAACCAATTAAAATGACGACTAAAATAGCATTTTTGACGCGTCGCGAAAAATAAACTGTTTGACACAGGCCATTTTCGGCACTCGCCCCGGGTTAACTCCCGGTTAACGGTGATTGGTTAGATCCAACAGAATGTTGTTGATGATTGGATAATTGTTAACTCGGGGTTAACCCTGGGTGAATGCCGAAAACGGCATTTATCAACCGCACGGATGATGAAGAAGTCGGCCCTGTCAGCGATTGGACGATCAACATGTGGAAGAGGAATTTTTTCCCTTTCCTCCTTGTAATTACAAGGGGAAAGGGTAAAAACTTGTTCATCATCCGTGCGGTTGATATTGGGACCTGAAATCACGTGAAACTGACCCACCCCTTAGCCTTTTTGTGGCAACCATCTTGGATTTTATCTTTTTCTTGAACGTATATCAGAAAGAGACGAAACGAAAGATGGCTACCACAACAAGGCTCTCACTAGATGGCGTATCGTAGTATTTCAGATCCCAATAGCCAAACACTTTTCGTTTTCGCGACGTGAACTTTGTAGCTCTCGGCGCATAAGCAGTAGACGGTACTACGAACGCATTGACAACACCATGCGGAAGTGCACATTTTGTTTTAGATTAAAACTATTAGTGATAAATTTTGCCCAGTTTTTTATTCCTGTTACTATTTTTTGTTTTAATATCAATTGTAATGATATTCTACTTTCTGTTCCTAAATAATTATCAAGAAAAGAGAGAAAGAATAGGAATGTTTAGTGTACTAAAATTTATCAAGTTATAAATAAATTGAACTCTAATAAGAAAGATATTCTTTCATAAGAATAGAAATGCCACTTTGTATGAATACAATTTTTTATTTCAGAGAATGGGTGCAGTGCATGGAGAAGAACTTTCATTTGTTTTCGGTGCTCCTTTAGTAGAAGGAATAGGATATTTTCTTAAAAATTATACGAGAGCTGAAGTTTCATTATCAGAAAGCATTATTCAATTTTTCGCTAATTTCATTCGTACAGGGTAAGAATAAATCAAATTTATGGCTTGCTAATTTTTTTTTAATAAATTATAAATTCATTTCTTAATTTGCTTGTATATGGGTGATTACCAAATAATTTTTAGTTTTTAAATTTAATTTCGTCCAATTGAAGAAGTGAATTAAATTTGACCCTCAGTATATTATATTTCACTTCATATAATTATTATTTAAATATACATTTCGATGGAAACTGTATTATGTAAAATGTGAAGATTATCCTCAATAATCGCTCGAAATCATAGAAACTTTATTTACGCAGTCAGAGTCATTGTTCGTGTTGCTTCATATCATCTCGACTAACTATTATTTATTAATTAAATATTGATTATATATATAATCAATAAATTTTTTTTTGATAATTATATCACTTTATATTTATTTATTACATATGTAAGAATATTAATTTTGTTTTAAATTTTTATAGAAATCCAAATGCTGCAGAAAATTATGTGAAAAATGATGCAGTCTTGCCTATTAGTAGAGAACGTAGCAGATTTCGAAACATAAACTGGGAACAGTATGATCCAGTCCATCAAAAATATTTGGAAATTGGTAAGAATTTGATTTCAAGAAACGACAAATCTATTTTAGAAAATAGTTTGTTTCTGCAAAGCCACTCTTATTTTATCGTTATTTGTCCCTTCACAATTTATTATGATAATATTATGATATGCTATTTACATCAGTGAACAGGTAATCAAACGATTTATTTTGTTCTCGAGTGTCTTGTTAATTCGGTACCAGTATACAACACTGACAATTCGGATGCTCCAGACCAATTTTAAGACCGAATTTTCAAAATCTTTTATTATTCTTTCGGCATTGGCCTTTCTGAATGGTGCTATCTCTATACATTTATCTTCGAAAATCATTATGCATTGAAAACCCAATAAAAAACCTAATAAATAAATTGTCCTTTGCAATGAAACCATCACAACCAACGCTACGGACCACGGCTGTTGTGCAACTGAAAGACCCGTTAATCCAGTTGCTTTTTGCTAATCAGCCTTTACTCTTTGGCAAGTGTTACATTCTCGTACCAATTTGGACAAATCCTTATATATTCCAGGCCAGGAATAATTTCCTGAAAGCTCTACTACTAATTCGTTCATAGATATATATGGATTTCACTATCCCCATGAAGCGACCCGGGTACAAATTTGAAATGTTTGGGATCAGGATAAAACTGCACAAATAGTAGTCCTATTAGATACAAGCGAAAATACTAAATATTATTAATTTATTTAAGCAAATGTAAAAACTGGAGGGAGTCAAAGTATAAACTTTTTGTCTTACATGGTAAAAAAATGTGCAGTTTTTTTAAGGTAATACTACACTTTAGAACGCTCTTCTAAAAGACCAAATTTTGTTTTGTTCAGGCTTATTTCTAGATTAAAACACCGTTTGAACCAAAATCCTATCAAGCTGCGGTTACACCTCTGCAGGCTGCCTGCCTGCGCAGGCAGGAGCAACGAGAGTAAGGGAGAAGTTTGAAGTCACTGACTCTCTTACTCTTGTACTTTACCATGCCAACCTGCAGGCAGGCAGGCTGCCTGCAGAGGTGTAACCGCAGCCTCATTTCCTTTTTTCGAGATATCGACCTTTTCATTTTTCAATCTTTTTCTGCTAAGTCGAAGGTAAGTAAAACTAATTTTGTTGCTGTAAAATCACAATAATAATAATGTATTAAAAATAATGGATTATTATTATAATCTTATATAGAAACGTAATTTAACAACATTCAGTGTTGATCATACTTCAAAAATTTTTTACAGTAAGTTCAATTCAAAGTCAAAAAAATTTTAAAAGGAGTGACAATGAGTCACCCAGGTACTAAATGTACTCACGAAGAAAATAGAAAAAAAGTATGTGCACCATGTGATAAGATAATTTTGTTTGATAAATTAATTTTTTCGATTTTTGGAAGACGTATATAAAAGGTATATTATGAAACTTCTTATAAAAAACGATTAATTTCTGAGATGACTTATATTAAATGCAATAATTTTACTATTAACAAGAAGGAAGATATACAGTTTCTTAGTAATTCCTATTTTCCTTTGCTTAATAAATTGAAATAATGGTTATAATTCATAATATTTCGATTGCGGGTAATTGACCCCATCGACCCCATCGACTGTATATAACGCGAAAATTGTCACCGGCTCAGTCAGTTTGACTAATCACTCGTTTTAATATGTTTGTGATTTGTAAATTTAAATATTTTATTTTTTTGAAGTATTGCGTTTATTTATGGTTTTTAATTTATTGACGTGATGTTTATTTTGTTGACTTTAACTAGGTAAAAATTGTTTTTTTTTATTTTTTGTTTAAATTTAATTTATTTAAAAATTGTGTTGTATTAATTTTTATATAAAAAAATTTTCTATTAAAGTGACCTGATGATGGTGGCGAACCTGACCACCGAAACGTCGTCTATTTTATAAAAAAGTAAAAGAGTGTTTTTCTTTTACCTTTTATATACGTCTTCCAAAAATCGAAAAAATTAATTTATTAAATAATTGTGGAAGAATTTACTAAATATTTAAATAATTTTGTTTGGAAAAAAGAAATTAGAGCATTTTCTTATAAATGCGAAGCACGAAAAGTTAATTCAAGACTTTTATAATTCTGATTTTTCTTTGACGGATTCAAAATACCCGATAAGTATATGTTCAACGTGTCGCAATACTAATTTAGAACACGAAAAAGAAAATCTTAAGAGACCTCTTCAAAAAATGCCAAACTATGGTGACATGATTTTTCCTATTGTGACGAGAAAAAATAATTACGAATGTTATATTTGTTTGACCGGTCGAAATCATCCAGGAACAGTATAGTAATCGAAAAAGAACGGGGCCATGTACACAACCTTTTGAATCAAATTGATCAATCTAATGGACTTAAAGGAAATTCTAAAACAAACATCACCGGTTTCCCGGAAAAACAATAGTCAAAAGCAATAAAAAAATTCACTAACGTTATGTTCATCTTGTTATCAAGAAATTAGAAAAGGTATATCGCATCAGTGTAGATATCTTGCTGTGGCTAGTGAGAATGTGAAAAATTGCCAGAAAAGCAGCAGGAGCAAATTATTTCTTCAACTATCAAACGAAAAATCTCTGGTCCAGCAGAAATTTTGGAGGCTGAAAAAAATAATTCCATTCACTATAATAACGGTGAGTATCTTTTCTCTACGAGGGGATCAAAGATGAGAATTCTAGTCAATTCAGAAAAAATCGAACCTGAAACCAAATTTTCTAGTGAGTGTTTGAAAAATTTCCAAATTATCATGGGAATGTCAGACAAAACATTGAAAAAAACTTTAAATTTTTTAAGGTGTAACGTAGGTAGAAAATCCGTACCTGTTTATTACGAAACGCAAATGACTTAAAATTCAAAAATTCTCGAAGACATTTATAAAGAAGAAGTACTAGAATTCGATGTTAAAAACAGTGCTACAAAAGAAAAAAGGCCTGTAATTTATGCCGATGCAGAAGAATTGCTAGACTGTATTATCACAAAACGAAACTCCATCGGGAATGTTAATGTTAAAATAATGGCAGATGGAGCTCAAGGATTTTTTAAAGTTAGCATGTCAGTTCTCTCAGACGATTATGGAATTCAAGAAAATCATATAAAAAAAGGCATTTATATTCAGAAGAAGGTTCAACTGGACAAAGAAGTATACTGACTAGTGTTAACAGATTAATTATGTTATGCATAGTTCCTCGAAAAGAAGAGACGTACGACAATGTGAAGCTTTTATTTGACTTAACAAAGCTAAATAACATTCCATTCAAGTTTGCTTCAGATTTTAAGCTTCTACTTATTGTTAACGGGCAGCAAATAGCCTCAGCATCGTTTCCTTGTCCATTTTGCTTTGTACCATTAGCTAACACAGCCACACAAAAAAAAAAGTTCTGATCTAAGGGTCTCACTATGTAGACTTTATGTTTTTTGGGTCGCTGAATCCGAATCCGAGGTCCATTTAACCTCATCAGATCAGGATTTTGACATAACCTCAAAAAATATGGCGGACACCTTTTTGAAAAGTTCATTGGATTCGCTTGAAATTTGTTACTCGGGGGTTTTTGGGGTCGCTGATTACGAATTTGAAGTCTGATTTCAAAAATTCAAAATGGCGGATCCAATATGGCGGACACATTTTTGAAAAATTCATCGGATTCGCTTGAAATTCGTTACTCTGGGGTTTTTGGGGTCGCTGATTACGAATCTGATGTTGGTTTTTCAAAATTTAAAATGGCAGATCCAATATGGCTGACACAGACATATTGGATCCGCCATTTTGAATTTTTGAAATCTGACTTCAAATTCGTAATCAGCGACCCCAAAAACCCCAGAGTAACGAATTTCAAGCGAATCCAATGAACTTTTCAAAAAGGTGTCCGCCATATTTTTTGAGGTTATGTCAAAATCCTGATCTGATGAGGTTAAATGGACCTCGGATTCGGATTCAGCGACCCAAAAAACATACAGTCTACATAGTGAGACCCCCAGATCAGAACTTTTTTTTCTTTGTGTGGCTGTGTAATTTAAGTAACAAAGAGGAGGTTAAAATAGTTTGTGATTGCACTGATGATTATACACGACCCGTTCATCACGTTCCTTCTGATTTAAAAACTTACGGACATTTAAAAAAAGACTACGACAAGTTTTGTAGTTTGGGAGCTAAAAAGAAGTTAGCGAAGAAATCCCATATAGTACAGTGAATTCTTCATTATTTATTGAAGACGATGACGTTTCCGTGATTGAAAAGTGCTTTATCCCCGAGCTACATATTTTACAAGGTTTTGTGAATCACCTCTTTCGGAATGTACTTCTTAATTTGCTTGGTAAGGAGAAGGCCTTGCTTTGGCCCTCCAAAATGGGTCTCCTGTCAAAAGAATATCAAGGCGAAATTTTTGAAGGTAATGCATGCAGGAAACTATTGAAGGAAGCTGACATACTAAATGATCCTGAAATTTATGGAAATATTGGACCCCTTGGAATCACGCCGTTTATTTCTGTATTTAAAGCAATGGACAAAATCGTGAATCTCTACTTTTCAACGAAGAAAATTTCTGCTAATGACGTCAATGAGATCGATAAGCACGTCAGTGATCTACGCAAATGTTTTCAGGCAACAGAAGTTTCTGAAAGTTTAAAAATACATGTTGTATTAGAACATTTGTCGGACTGCTTGCAATTTCTGGATGGAGATGGTCTAGGAAAGTGGTCAGAACAATGTGGCGAATCGATACACCGAGTTTTTCTGGACCAGTTTTGGAGTAAGTACAAAATTAACAAGATTGACCACGAATCGTATTCGAGAAGGTCAAAACAGGCAGTAGTGGAATTAACACATTTTCAAAACACATTTGAGTTTTTTATAGTTTAATGTTTACATGTTGTTAACTAATAAATACTTTTCAAACTTTTACTTAACTTTACTTTTCTTGCAATCTTCCAATACCCGTTTCAATACCCGTCATTTCACTTTCCACTCATTTAAATATATGAACCTCAATAAAATTAATGGTAACATTTTAAAAAACAAATATATTAATCAAAATATACTTCTTTAATATACTTTTAATAATAAATTAAGAAAAATTAAAAAAAACATTTTTAAAATTCAGTTGAAAGTGCGCTTTTGGTCTGATTTAGAGAAAGAAAATTGAAAACCTTAAACATATAAGCTTAAGTAATACTTGAATAGCCCTAAATAAATAATTAAACTTTTGTGCTTGCCAAAATTGACATAAATAGTTTTGCTTCACAATTTTAGGAATGAAACCGAGAGTTAAAAATCATTATCGTGCACATCAATTATCTGTCTGGTTGCGGTTAATACCAGAACTACACCGTGCCGGAATGGAAGATGTTGAGCCAAGACACAATTTATTTAAAGGATATTCAGACCAAAATATGTATGATGGCTTAGTGCGGCCCGATCCTTTACACAGACTGGATGATGAATTCTCAAAGAGAAACTTAACAACTGATGTATCGACTACAATCGACTTGAGTATTACAACTTGTGTTGGTCTGATACAAAGTACGAAACTTCAAAATATTAATAACTCTACTACAGATACACTTGCCAGTTTGGATGCTGCTGGGTAAATATAATATACATATTATATTCCCATGTGGAAGAATTTCTAAAAAGTTTTCAGAAGTAGGTTTCACGGAGAAAAAGGAATTGTTGTGGTAACTAAAAATTAAGGGGTTATATACAGTCAGGCGGTCGGAAAAATGCAGGTTTTCGGGATTTTTTTTTAAAAGGAATATTTATTTATTAAAGCGAAAGTTTTACTATAATGTTTTACATCTTTTAAGTTTAAAAAAAATATTTCATTTGTAAAAATTTTTTTTTTTGGTCTCTGTACCTTATCTCACAAGATAACAATTGATAGAATCATCTGAGATCAAAAAGTTAAATAGATTCTGTTAGTGTATAAAAAAATGTAGTCTTTGATCGTTGGAATTAAAAAAATATCACTTTTTGACAAAATGTCAGCCAAAAAAAAAGTTCATTTTTATGAAACAAAAAATCGTATTCAAATGTTGATTAATATTATAATTTTTTTTTAAAAAAAACTGCGATCAAGGACAGCAAAAAGTAGTTGTTGAGCTTGTGTGAAAATCAGAGCTAAATCGGTTCAGCGGTTTTTGAGAAATCGTGTTCAACGACTTGAAAAACATAGTTTCGAGAAAAGTGAGCTTAAAGACCCTGCCCTGCTCTACACCCCACGGCGCGCCTTTCTAGTTTTGTCTGCAACTTCGAAAATATAAGTCCTTAAGTCCACATAACAATTCTGGATTGTCAATATAGAACTAGCAATTCTATTTGTTGTTGAGACAGAAAATAATTGTTAAAATAGAATTGTTAACAATTAACCTGTCAGTCCAACAAATCCAAATTGTTCCATCAGCAATCGGTGGGAGATTTGCTTCTACAACAATATGAAGTTGTAAACTGAACAGGTTGATTGTAACTAATTTGTATTGTTGCTAAAACAAGATACATTTGTATTGACAACAATGCGAATTGTAATTTCAACATTCCTAATTGTATCAAGAACAAATCTACTAATAACAATCCAAAAATTGTTTGCACAACAACACCTTTTTTCTCCGAATTCGGTGCACATCCAGAAATTTCTCTAAAATCCAACCACATGGGATTTAAATATCTAATAGTTAACAATGTAGTGCTATTTAAACTTTTGAATACTGCAGGCTTATTCGTATGCTTTGTAAGGTTACAGTGTAAGTTAATTGTAGACTTAAGGTAAACTTACAATTTTTGCCATAGAGTAGGCTTACACAGGCCATATGGTAAACTTACACGGTAAAGTCTTGGTAAGCTTACATGGTTGAGTCACTGTAATCTTACAATTATTAATAAATAATTTTTTTAAATATTTATTCGCTAATATTTATAACCTTATGTGCTAATCTCACAATAACCTTACAGTGACTTTACCTTGTAAGCTTACAATGACCTTACCATGTACAAGCGCGGATCCAGGGGGGGCCACAGTGGCATGGCCCCCCGAGAATTCAAACTTCCTGGAATTTTTTAAATAAAAATTCCATTCATATAAGGTCATCAAGCTAACGTCTAGCAGATGCCCCCCCCAAGAACCTTGTCTGGATCTGCCCCTGACCATGTAAGTTTAATATGCAGGGGCGGCGAAACATATGTGGAGAGTGTGGATTACTCCACACACCAGATCCATTCGTGTATGGATTTCCACACTCTAAATATTGAATTAAAAAAAATTGTTATCATTATACACAGTCACACTCAGAAGAATATATTACAATTTGTTAAACATTTTAATAAAATAATTTAAATGTTTTGATGTTTCCGCGCCATCAAAAATTCACTATATATCCCAAATAGAAATGTCCGGAGCTATAACGGAGTTAAACATCGGCATGGTACAGACGTCCAACTCAGGACGTCTGTACTGACTCTCGAAACCCGAACAGTACTAGCAGTACGAAAGTCAGTACTGCTTTACTGTTAGTCAGTACTGGGTCAGTACTATGCCAGTATTACATTTCTACTTGGGTAAAGAGTAAATTAAACTTAAAAATGTACTAGTCATAAAACTTTAATAATAAATTAATATAATATTATTTTGAATATTTAAAATTACTAAGTGCTTTGGCCTTTCCCCCCACACCAGCTCCACACACCACTGAGACCTGTTTCGCCGCCACTGTTAATATGGCCTTACTGTGTAAGCCTACTGTATGGCGGAACTTTTAAGTTTAGGTTAAGTCTACAATTAAATTACGCTGTAACCTTACAAAGCATACGAGTAAGACTGTAAATGTTCTCACGTAGGAAAGATATCGTGCTATGGGGATACTGTTCCATAATATGGACGAAATTATGAAAACATTCCATATCTGGGACCTTCACCTTATATTATGTCTTCCTCAATAATTCATTTTACTTTACTGTTCTTACAGATATGCTGCATATTCTACAGCACTAAGTGTAACAATAGCAATAGGTTGCAGTTTACTTATTCTTAATGTACTAATATTTGCTGGTGTGTATTATCAAAGGGATAAAACTAGAATGGAAGTGAAAAATTTACAAAAAAAGCGAATTTTGAATCAAGCTTGCGGACCTAGGACATTCAACGAGTTAAAGCAGATACCCCATTCACACTTTATTGATAATAATCCTATTATTGTGGATGTTGAAAATGAAATACTTAGAAGGTAAATCTAAAGTAATTTATACTACAGTTGGGCACGGCCCAAAAACATTACAATCTTTAAATCATAATTTTTTACATTCTCAACATATGAGAAGGAATTTGTAATTTCAAATGTCAGAAAATTAACAAATATCACATTCGAAACTCTTGCATATTTTTTAAAAATTATAGAAAAAATTTAAAACTTATACAGGTATTAGTGTTGTTGCGATACGAGACGAGGCGAGAATTCTATAAATATCGTCTTGTCTCGTAATTTTAAGGCGATTTATCGCATAGGATCGTCTCGAGCGTCGAGAATCCTATGCATTATCGTCTTGTCTCGTCTCGAACGTTGAAAATGCATGGAAATCAAGATTTCTCATCCTCGTGACTCCTCTCTCGTCTCGTATCGACTTAACGATATTTAAAAAAACACTGTCTCGTCTTGTCTCGTGCAATGGTTTTCTCGTCTCGTCTCTCGCCATTATCGCGGCAACACTAACAGGTATCATCATTCAAGTTTCATCATTAATTGAGGGTCTATTCTATTTATTAATAGTAGATTTCCGTAAAAAAATAATTTCGACTTGTTCACAATTTTTCTAAAATTCACTCTTTCATTCACAGATTTTAATAATCACTCAAATGAGAACAATTTTCGTATCACTTTTCGACGTTCATCAACACTTTAACAATTATTATTATTTCTTTACTTTGTCCCATGAAAACCACGAGAACAATAATTAAAGTACAACGCAATTCATACAATTTTAAAGTTAAATAACAATTATAAAGATAAAAAATTTAACAATTTTCAACCAGAAACAAACTTCACTACTTTTAAGAAAGCAAAAGTCTAACAATTGCAGAATAGTATTAAATAGAATAAAATTAATAATTTAAAGTGTATTTTGTTAAATTATTAAATTATAAATACAATTTCCTTTTCTTTAATTTTTGTTTGCTTTATCTGGAGAAAATTTAAGAATCTGAGCAATATTTTTTTAATTTGTACACATTGTGCATATTCTTCTTTAAATAGATGAAAAATACAATTATTTTGATTTATGTTAAAATCAATTCAGTAGGTGGTACAGAATTATTTTTTTTAATATTTAGAAAGGGCATGTCTCAGCGGTATTTAAAATGTTTCAAGACCACCGTGACTAACTTACTTACTAACTAACTATTTTACTAATAAAATAACTAACTTTCTATTGTTAACTTTAAGAATGATTTTCTCAAAAACACAATGTTGGACGTAAGGTCCCTTTTAAATTATTAGGTCACGCATAGGGCTGAAACCAATTAATCTTTTGATTACAAATATTCTATGGGCAAAGAAATTTACCACCGCGGGCATAGTGGCGCAAGTGTTTCAAAACAAATATGGCGTTTCCACGATTCTTTTTACCCTTTCGATCCCAGTAAAAAAAGAAGTATTGAGTGGAGCGTTTAGGAATTGAGTGAAGCTCTGAGCCAATACGGATTCGAGTAAAAACCGTATAGGGACGTTTGACTCAATCTTTTTTTCATCCGCCGAATACGGTCTTATTTTAGCATTAAAATTAAAATCACATGAGCAGAGTACACATTATAAATTGAAAGCACAATTGTCCTGGAATGTAAAAATGCCGATTTCGATAAGAAACAATGAATATTTGTTAAAAATTGGTAAAAGCAAAGTTTGATAAGCGCGACTGAATTTACCACGTGAATAAATGAATTGGTAAGTTTAAATGGACGAAAAGAAATCTACTGTTACCGACAGAAAGTTCCTAGAGAATTGTAAAACAATGAAATTTCATTGTTTTGTTGAATTTACCACAATTCTCTAGGAACTTTCTGTCGGTAACAGTAGATTTCTTTCAGTCCATTTCGTCCATTTAAACTTACCACTTCATTTATTCACATGGTAAATTCAGTCGCGCTTATCAAACTTTGCTTTTACCAATTTTTAATAAAAAATAAAAAATATTCATTGTTTCTTATCGAAATCGGCATTTTTACATTCCAGGACAATTGTGCTTTCAATTTATAATGTGTACTCTGCTCATGTGATTTTAATTTTAATGCTAAAATAAGACCGTATTCGGCGGATGAAAAAAAGATTGAGTCAAACGTCCCAATACGGTTTTTACTCGAATCCGTATTGGCTCAGAGCTTCACTCAATTCCTAAACGCTCCACTCAATACTTCATTTTTTACTGGGATGCTGTGAATCGAATTCCATGACTTTTATTAAACGCGAGCTATATTGACAATCTGACAATATACACCCATGGTGGCAATTTTTTTAATTCACTTCATGTCCACTAGTGTCGCATAGCAATTTTAATTCCCCAATCAAATATCAGTTATTCCTGCAGATGATTCTTCTGTTTTTCTGACTACTTTACACGAAGAAACCTTTGAGAAGTCTGTCTTCCCACTGCATGGGAAGTCTGATCGCCCGCCACTGGGTGCGTAGCGTTACCGCTTTCGATAGACAAGCTTTCCAAAAAGTTGAGAAAATGACAACTACTGGGTACGTGGATCAACTAGTTTAAGAGTGGAGATGAACAAGTGTCGTGGTGGCGCTGACGCATAACTTTCGGGTGAGCAGACTACTTAAAGGTTTCTCCGTGTACATGTCGAGCGATTCTCGATCAACAAACTCTCGATAAAATCGAATATGTCACCAAAGTAACTATTAAAGTATTTGAATTTTAACTCTCATCTTTATAATAATATAAATCTGGAAACTAATATTTATTTAACTATACAGTTAATTAATAATTATTTTATAGGAAAACTTTTACTGCCGTTGAGCCAGGATCGTAACACTTAATTAATATTAATTAAAAGATAGACTGATGTGGAACCTAATTAATGTATCATAAAAGGGTAAACAACAAATTTTGCACGTCAACACGAAAGTGAGAAGGAATTACCTTCGATAAACTTGAACCAAAATTCAACATGTAAAGTGGTTACCTAAAGACTGGAGAATTTAGCGAGCTGCTTTCTGATTAAGATGTGACTGACTCCTGAGAAATGGGCCACTATTAGTCCATGTCTTGAAAATTTTGATTCTTTTCATTTGTGAATCGTAAAAATGGTGACATTAATTGATGAAATACTTTTGTAATAAATAGTGCGCGCAGATTAATATCTGAAACACTTGCGAATGATTCTAATATTACGTATTTAGAAATCAAAATGAATGAAAATCATTGATGAATAATTTAAGACTTATTTTCAACAGCTGTACGGATCACTAACTTACTGTATAGTATTAAAAGTCGACGCTAAAATTTCTTTGTTAAATAAGCACTCCGTTAATATATATCTTCAGTATAGTGAATAGCATTTATTACACGATTACAAAAAATTCCAGTCTTAGTAAAATAAAAACTAAAATAATTCTAAATTTAATAGAAAAGACATTAAAGAGATTTTTGGTGACCGTGAGATAAACTATTTACTAAGTTGTGAAAATATAATATATGTTACATTTTAGTATAAAAAATTATGCCACTGATTTTCTCGCAATAGATCAATTATAAATCGCAGCCTTTTAATTTGAAACTTCCAACATAGAGACGATGAAGAATAATTACAATTAATAAAAGACTATGCATAATTGTAAATTGTATGTAGCCTTTTTTAAATAATGAAGTGAATGTCGCAACTAAAACCCATCTTTTGTGAACATAAATTAGGAATATGATTTTTAATTATTCTAAGTCAATCATCACACGCATGATAGTGCTATTAAAATTGTTTAGGATTAATTATGTTTTACAAAAATCGCTCAAATTTTTACTTACAGAAAATAATAAGGTTGCTATTAAGGACTGAAAATTATGTTACATTAAGTAATTTTGTTTTGATTAAACAATTCTTTTCTTTGTAAGGGATACGTTTTCAAATAAAACATATTCGAAAACTCAGTAATATTTAATTTCATTAATTGGTGAATATTAGCCACCAACATGGAAATAAAATTCTTTTAAAACAAAAAATACCCATTTCGTGAGATTTCCCCATAAATGTTCAATTTCTTAACAATGGGACTGAAAGGGTTTGATATTTCATATCAAAATATTTTAATATGAAAAGAATTACTGTTAGCCTTTCCAAAACTTTACGTTTTATTGAATATAATTAAAGTATTAAATTAGTTAATTATCCAGATGGTAATTCAAATTTATTCAACTTTATTAAACAGAATTTTGTTTCTTATTAGATTACTCTGCGCTGCTTAAAGATACACAAAGATAGAATTCAATTTGAATTTATGTTTAATCTATTTTCATGAACCTTATCAATAATATGTAAAAAATTGTCTCCAATATTTATTACATCCTGCAATGAATAAAACTTTTCAGCCGAAACACAATGTGATCCTTTGATGATTTTTGGAAGAGATTCCTGAAGAAAGGTACCAATTGAATATTTTGTAGTTTCTTCCCATGTCTAAAAATTTTAAAATCATTTAATAGTTTCATTTATTAATATAATATAATTAACTTAAGATTTATAACGTTTAAGATTGAAGAGCTGGATGCAATAAGGGGACGAACGCGTGATTGAAAGGGATAATACCAGTCAGGTAGCAGTGAGCGGCTCAAGGCTTGTCACTGCTACCCGACTGGTAGTATCCCTTCCAAGTCTCGCGTTCGTCCCCTTATTGCAAATTATTAATAATGTATTGAACGACTTTTCATTGCTTCAATTTCTGCGACGAGAACTTGTGCATAAATATTAAGTGCCCTTATACATGAACTTATTCTATTATGTTAACTTGCTTTTTTTTACCGAATCGATCGACGATCGTTTCCATTTGCAAATTGTGTGCTACACTTATGTTTTCAACCCAAATTAATTTTATTAGTCTGCGGGACTTTAGGTTTCAGTGCGAGTGCTATTCAATCTTATCCGTTTATCTTAATGATTAATTTTAGAATATTGTTTAGAGCTGTGCAAAATTCGAACCGAACCGAGTTTAGTTCAGTTTTGGGGCGCCGAAATGTCGAATATTCGACATCCGAACTGGGCTAGTTCGAATATTCGAATATTCGACATTCGAACTGGGCGAAAAAATTCGAACAGTTCGGTTCGAATTATTTTGCACAGCTCTAAAATTGTTTTCACTTGGAAATGTAATCAAATCAAACACTAATATCAGACAGAAGGATTTTCAAAAATATCTAAAAGAAATTTTGTAGCAATTTTTTAATTTTTGAAAGAAATTTATTTTTGCATTTTTTGAAATAACTTTTTTCTTTATTAAAATTTCTATTAATTCTTGTCCAAATGATATTACTGGCATAAAAACTAATCGATTCATGTATATAAAGTATATATGAGCGGATGGGAAGAAGAACTCGCCGAGCGCGAGACCGTAAGGGATAATATCAGTCAGGTATAGCAGTGAGCGCTATATGTTATCAATATTTATAAAATTAATCGATATTTTTATATTTAACAAAATAGTTATTCAATAATAAAAAATTAAGCAATTGGTATATACTATATTAATTTAAGTATATAAAAAACAAAGTTTTTAAGTAATAAAATAAAGTGAAAAGCATTTTTCTCAAATTACAAAATTAAACTATTTGACTATGTTAGAAGCACAAACCCTGAGAAAAACCCAATGTAGACTAGAAATTTACACTAATGGTTTCTATTTCAGATTTGATTAAAAAATTTAACAATTAATATCTTTTTAATGAAAATAAGCAATAGTTGTAGTTCGATAACTTACTGCACAATTCTCTGCTTGCAGTTGAAAGCATACTGCTGAATCTAACTTGGACCACAAATCAATAGGAGTATTTATTCTTAACAAGTTTAATATTATCCTTAGTACAGAATAAAAATTGTCAGCTGCAATACTGCATTCCTAGGAAAAACATGATATCTTTAAATGTTTGTCAAACAATTCTCAAGCAGCACTTAAAAATATATCTTAATATCACTGTAATATGACATTGGATATTCGTAATATTATACTTCTAATATTATTTCTAATATTTCAGTTATATTATTGTCATCAAAATGTATGCTGCAGGGTGGGGCAAAATTGGGTTTAAGCACTTTCTCACAAAATACGATATAAGTTTTTTCAAAAACTTTTTTCTCCGCTATTATCGTAATTTCCTTAAAGCTATAAGTGTACAAGGAAGAATTCTTATGGTTAGTTGAATTGGTTTATTCGTTTGGTTCTCTGTAAACAGACAATTTCAAAAAGGTACCCCACTTTGTCCCACTCTCCCCTATTTCATAAATTCTCACAATTCACTCTTTTTTAACAAATGAAAATTAAGAGCTTACCGAAATAACCAATTACAACATATTATTCAAATAATAATAGAGACCCCATTTAAAAATTAAACTGATTACTACTATAAGTGATCCAGATCATAATCCGTGAGCACGCTGATAACACCCATTGTCGGCATATATATTAAACGTTTAATAAATTTTGCTTACCTCTTCATGTTTCGCAAAAAGGTCAATTTGTTGAATTATGGATTGACAAATCATTTTATAACAAATTAACAATTTAGTATTTGTCGATGAAAGATGATTTCGATCTTTTGATAGCATTATTTTCTTGATAATACTTCGCAATTGTTGCATTAATAATGTAAGTTCATTCTAGAAAAAGAATTTTACGTTAAATTATAAGATATAGTAAGGTGGGAATGGGTGGGGCTTAGGGTAAAGTAAGTAATCAGCAGTGCGGTGTGCGTCGATGTCAACTTTAGGAACCAAAACGTTAAACAATATAGAGTTTAAAACAAAATATCTAATTTACCTTAATTTTTTTAACATTATGGCGTGCTTCCCAATAAATTTGTAGATATTCCATGAGAAAATATATTTTAGAAGGCTCAATGGATGTTCGAAAACTTCTAGTAAATTTTTCTGATATTTTATTGATTAAATAGCTCGTAAAAAACAGCATCAGCAATTCATCGTCTGAGTTGAGCTCAACTTGAGTGAGTAACAAGTTGCGACTTAATGTTACAGAATGTTCTTCTTGTGCAAGCTGAATGCTCACAGGTCTAGTAAACTCAGTAAGTGGATAGTCGCAGACAAAATCTAAAAATATTTTCAATTTATTTTCTATAGACATTATCTTTTAAAAAGAAATTATTCACTTTAAGTACACTAGAACCTCGATTATCCAAATCAATTCAGGCAGAATCTGATGGTTCAAACTTTCACTTTCACCCAAAAAATTTTCACTTTCATTCAGAAAATTTTCACTTTAACGTAACAAATTTGCACCTCCACTTATAAACAGTTGAGTTAAATAGTTCGGATAATCGAAGTTCCATTGTAATAGTAAAATATCATTCAAAATTGATTTGTAATCTATTGAAGAATACAGAAATTCAAAACTTTGAAAAACTACATCACAACAGAAGCAAATATTTATTATATAAAAATACCATTCATCAATTTTGCACAAAGTTCCCGACCAGATGAACCTAATTGAATATCTGTACTGAACTTTCTTAAACCAGGTTGCGAAGAAATTTTACATAGTGGCTTTAAGTCCAATAAATAAACTGCTTTTAATATGTGTATATCATGTTTATCAATTTCATATGTTACTGTAATGTCGACTTCAGATGATAGTATCGGAGTATTTGTCTTCAACTTAATAGGTATCCTATAACAGAACTGTCCATCTAACAGAATCAAAATTTAAAAAAATTTGATGATATTAAAGTTTATAAATAGGTATTTTAATTACAAAATATCAGAATACAGTCGAGTCGTAGAACTGCGTGCTTTCATTCTGCATGCTACCGTGACTGTGTAAGCTGTGTACTCTTTTGTTACTTCCAAACACCTCCACATTTAGCAAATGTTTCATTTCACGCGTTTCTTAGTTATCATATTTAAATAATTTATTGTTTTTTTGATTCTATTCTTTAAACGTCACTTTTCTACTATTATTTTTTTTAGCATCATCGTACTTTAATTGTTATTATTATTTTTACGATCTTCTCAAATTGTTTTGGTGAAAACACAGTGGTCCTCAAATGCCAAAAAGTTTCATAAAAATGTCAAAGAAAACTGCTAATGCCATCTTATTCTAATCATCTCACACTTCTAAACCTATTTTTGTTCGAAATCCTACTTGTTCGCATTTTCAAAATAACCAAAAAACAGTTTCAAATCATTTTTAGAAATTTAGTTCATATTTGAATTTAATACAAAAAAAGAAAATTCGAATGTCAATTACTTTTAAGTTTAATAAAATTGTAAATTTCACCGTAAGAGTGATATTAAGGAAATGGCTATTTTACTTTTTTAACTTTTAAAATGATAAACATAGGTATTTATATTTATTGTAAAAACATTAACCCTTTAACGCCGGGACGGACGCTTTTTTTCAATCATTTTCAACGTTAATTATTTTTGTTATTAGGCAATTAGAAAATTATCGGAATAACATTTTCTTACGTATTTTTTATCGCTCTTTCAGAATTTGTCATCAAAATTGCAAACAACAAAAATTCCAAAAAATGTTATGGCATTTAAAATGTTATTGACATTTTTGATTCAAAAATGATTTTTTTTTTCATGTAACCAGTAACCAGAAAAATTCTTCACAATAAAATATCGCGTCCACAATATCCAAGCTTCAAGTGATGGACCATACACTTAAAAATTTCAAGATGGCGGATCCAAAATGGAGAAAAAAGAATTTTTTTCACATAATTGACACCCTGTGGACGTTTTTTTAATTCTCCTTTTATCTATATGAAAAGGAGTACCTGAATGTTTTTTGGGTCGCTGATTACGAATATGAACTCAGATTTCAAAAATTCAAAATGGCGGATCCAATATGGCGGCTATCTTTTTAAAACTTATCGGATTTGCATGAAACTTGTTACTTGAGGGTTTTTAGGTCGCTGAAAACGAATATGAAGTCAAATTTCAAACGTTCAAAATACCGAATCCAATATGGCGATCAAAATTTCAGAAAATGATTAGATTGGTTTAAAATTTAATACGTTCTTTAGCTATTGAAAATATTTTAATGTTGTCCGACTCAAACCACGAGGGTCATTTGTTTTACAGCAACATTAAATTTCATTTCCTTTAAAAACTATATAATTTCTTATTTAATTCATTTAGCAGAATGCATTGTCTCTATCAATACACGAGGATGTACGTTTACCTCCTCGTGGTTTGAGACGGACAACATTAAATAATTTCAATGGCTAAAAAACATAAAATTTTAAACCATTCTAATCATTCTTTAAAATTAAGACCGCCATTTTGGATTCGGTATTTTGAATTTTTAAAATCTGATTTCAGATTCGTAACTAGCGACCCCAAAAACCTCCCGAGTAGCAGTTTTCAAATAAAACCGATCAATTTCAAAAATATCGACCGCCATATTGAATCCGCCATCTTGAAATTTTTAAATGTATGGTCCATCACTTTGAAGCTTGGATATTGTGGACGCGATATTTTATGGTGAAGAATTATTCTGGTTACTGGTTACATAAAAAAAAATCATTTTTCAATCAAAAATGTCAAAAATTTGCATTTTTTCGAAATAAGCGGCCATAACTTTTTGGAATTTTTGTTTTTTGCAATTTTGATGACAGATTCTGGAAGAGCGATAAAAAATACGTAAGAAAATGTTATTTCGAAAATTTTCTACATGCCTAATAACAAAAAAAATTAACGTTGAAAATGATTGAAAAAGCGTCCGTCCCGGCGTTAAAATTGGTTAATGTTTTTACAATAAATATAAATACCTATGTTTATCATTCTAGAAATCAAAAAAGTAAAATAGCCATTTCCTTAATATCACTCTTACGGTGAAATTTACAATTTTATTAAACTTAAAAATAATTGACATTTAAATTTTCTTTCTTTGTATTAAACTCAAATATGAACTAAATTTCTAAAAATGATTTGAAACTGTTATTTCGTTATTTTGAAAATGCGAACAAGTAGGATTTCGATATAAAATAGGTTTAGAAGTGTGAGATGATTAGAATAAGATGGCATTAGCAGTTTTCTTTGACATTTTTATGAAACTTTTTGGCATTTGAGGACCACTGTGAAAATATATGTTTATACTTATGCGAGGCACGAGACTCTCGTAAACTTCATATCGAACGGCCAAATTACAATTTTATCAACTACTCTTAGTGGAGTAATAAACCATCCAATTCTATAACTCGATCAGTTATCTCGGTAAAAATTGAGGAATAGAGAATAACTGTACGATGAAACGAACATACCTTAATTGAAATTCGATCTTCATTCTCACATAGGAATTCGTATAGGATCTTATAAATGTTTTCTCACATAGGAATTCATATAGGATCTCATTACGTTAGATCATATATGTTTTCTCAAATAGGAATTCATATAGGATCTTACGTAAGACCTCATAAATGTTTTCTTTTATAATGTTATAAATCTCTTTAGTTCCTATAATTTCACCGCTAGGTGGCGAAAGTGACTTTTTTCGCTGTTGAGATGATCATGGAACTCTATACAAGAGCTGAGAAACTGTAGTTCACAAGAGTCTCACTTGAGCTGTCGAGCAATACAGACGTGCTTTGTTTACGGTCTTACTGTTGGTTCTTAAAGTTTGTTTGTGTCAACTTTTAACTGTACTTTCAAGTGAAGATAATTAAGAATATTCTTAAATCATGTCTGAAAATTTTGAAGAAAAAATTGTGCATTATCTGATTAATTTGGTGGACGAAATAGCTAAATTTACGGAGGCTCAAAAAAAGTTTAAAAAAAGAGTTTCATTCCATACGTGTGGATAACTTGGCAGCAATTGATACACAGGTAGTGCTTGAGGAAGATGCAAATCTCAAAAAACGTCGTTTTATATAAATTACGGAAAACGAAACTTACAGCTCTGATGTTTTTAAAATGGTGGCAGAGATTTTTACAAATCTCGATCTTCAAATTCCCGACTATACAGTGGAAGATATGTACAGACTAGGTAAAAAAGCTTTAAATTTACCCCTACCTGTTCTCATCAAATTCATGGGATCAAGATGGTCAAAAATGGTTCTCGAAAAAGCAATGGATTTTAAAAAACTCAATTCAATCATCGCAAAGGACCGATCGGCCGAAGAAAGATCTACATGGAAACTGTTAAATGAAAGAATACGCCTACTTAAAGTTTTAAACATCTCTGCAGCCATTAAAAACAATAAAATCCTTGATGATAACTTTGTATCCATGGATGAAGTTGACGCTATTCTAAAGGAAAACCGTAAGCGTTCAATGAATGCCGAAGAAATAAAATTGTCTTCAATATCACCATCTACATCAACAAAGAAAAGAGAGAAGGGTCGTCCTAGGAAAGATATTAGTTGTGTATTAAAAGACAGTGACATTGTGTGTTTGTATGAAACCAGGATACAAACCGAAAAGGTAAATATTCCACATAATGTTTGGAACTATAATTATATTATAATTCCTGCGAAAAAAAATTATAATTTTGTACAACGCAGATTTTTATATACTATAGAAAAAATTATAGATTTCGATAGCTTTGTATTTGTTAAAATCAAATCAAAAAATACTAATTTTATAATTGGTGTGGTATAGCGCTCGCCTATTTTAAATTTTTTGAACTTCTTTAAAAATTTTATACATGCTTAGGAGACAGTAATTGAACTATTTCCGGACCTTGTGATTTTATTAGGAGGCGATTTTAATTGAAGAGTGTCTCGTCGTAATCAGTAATACAATGATTTTATATTAAATGACTCCAATTTTACAAAAAGCAGATTATCGTTGTATAAAGTTAATAATAATAATGGCAGCATTTTGGTACGACAATTAGAATTACATGGTTTTATTTTGTTAAATGGTAGAAGTATAAGCGATTCGTCAGGAAATGTTACGTTTGTTAGCTCGGTAGGAGAAAGTGTGATTGACTTAGTTTTGTTCGGACTAAATGGTGTAAATTTAATTAAAGATTTAGAAGTGAGTCATATAATCACACAGTCAGACCATTTCCCGGTATGTGCGTATTTCTCAGATATGGTTTCAAATAAAAAAAATCCCACAATGTGAGCGATTATAATATAGCGTTAGAGATTTCACATTTATATTATATATAAATAAAGCAGATGATTATTACCATTTAATGACAGAACTTCTTGATGTATCAAAAACTGCAAATGATATAAATCAACTTGATAATATCTTGAATTTAGCAATTGTTAATGCAGCCACTTCTTTAAACATGAAAAAATAAAGCATAAATCTTTTAATTTAAAAACTACTGGTTGTTTGGCAAGTGCAAAGAAGCAAAGGAGCGGGTAAAAAATTCTTTATTTCAATGTAAAAAATATTCATTTCAGGAAAACAATAAAATACAGTTTATAGAAGCTAAAAAATATTATTAAAACTATTATTAAAAAGAAAAAATCTTACGAACTCGATAAAATAATAAAATTATCACGGGCAAAAGATTCTAATGAGTTTTGGAAAATTATTAATGAATCTAGACCAAAAGAATTCAAATCAAATAATATTGACTTATCTGTTTGAACCCAATTGTTGTGAAAAATGTTTATAATATATATATATATTATAGGTTACTCAATAAGGTCCTTCGTTATTTAATTAATAAAACAAAAATTGTAGCTTAATCCTCGGTTCACAACAACCACTTTTTTTT